TGGCCTTTCTCTCCTTGGAGCCATGTCCTGTGCCCATCTGCTGTCCCCAGTGTCCCTCTGGCTCTGATCTGGGGGTGCAAAGCACTGGGGTGGCCCCACGGGGCCTGTGGCTGTACATGGGACAGTGGTAAAATCCCATTGGGTGGTGGGAAGATCTGCGGGCTCAGCTCAAGACTGGCTGCAACCTGAAAATCTGCTTTAAGTTTTCTTCTTTTGCATCACTGAAATTGTGCCCTGCCTTGGATGGGGAGAGAACACTCAGAGAGGGTCTGAGCCACTGAATCTGTCAGGTCTGTGCATCATGAAGGATATGCACGTAAGATCCTTTACAACCAGAGGAAATACCTTTATCTTGCCTTGCATTATGTTCAGAGACCTCCTGGCACAGGAGTGAACCAGTGAATGTGGATAAACCAGCCAGGACATAGCCCGGGCTTAGGACTATGTTGGGAACTCTGCATCCTGAGCATGTATTTTTAACTGTTTAACATGGGATATATTTTCATAGGTTGCCTGGGTAAATGAATAGGAAGAAGACTTCTTTTTGGAAAAAAATTCCTTTTTGAAAAACAAGTTTGAATATTTTTTTGCTTAAATTGGTGATTTTGGTGTAGGGAGGGGTCCAACTCATATACTGAAATGATTGTTTTAAATAATTTCAGTCAACTTGTTATCAGAAATTAAGTATTGACCATGATGAACACTTCAAATATAAACTTTAGTCGTAGTATCCCCACTCCTGTCCAGTTTCGACTCATGAAATCCTGATTCTTTTGGTTCAGCTGTCACTGCTCTTCCCTGTTTATTCAGGAGCATTTTGCTTTGGTTTCAGCCCTTGCAGCCACTTTCACCTGGAGTTTCAGATTCAGAAGAATCTTACCAGAAAGCGTAAGAAGTTGTGCCCTTGATGAGGTTAATGTAACACACTGTGCTTTAACCGTATTTTTTGTCTGCTGCCTTTGTTAGGAACTCACACTGAATCCTCATTTTGATGGGATTGCTCATCTCTAATGTGCAATTAAAATATACTGCAGTGACTACAGAAAGCCCAGCATCGTCGAAGACCCTCAGCTGGAGAGCTATATCATGTAACCAGTCATTTAGAGGTCCCAATCCTGGGCATCCCTATTTTTATCCATGCCTCAGAGTGAAGGAGCAGTGTATATGACAATATGTATTTTATAATATGCCTTAGTTTGTGAGCATGCATATTCTTGCCTTATAGTGTTGCAAATTTTTTTGCATGCCAGCCAAAATCTTGGTGGCTTCTAGGAAGATCAGTGATTGCATTATGTGCTGTTACAATGATAAAACAAAACCCCAGCTATAACATGTTATTACAAAAAAGTGTAAAAGAGGCAATAAACTTTAATTGTAGTATAACTCCATTTTAGCTGCTTTGATTGCATTATAATATTTTATATTATTGAGTAGGCTTAAGAAAGTCCCATTACAGATATATGTACACACATCTGTTTTCATAATGCTATTTATCATATTCCTGTATGGTTGTAGTTCTTTCAATCAGAGAACAAGATATTCTCCTGAAATCATGCTTCACAGAAAATTTTATCTCCGGCATCCAACATACACTATTTGCAGAGTGATGGACAGGAGAATCTCTGTCACCTCTGTCTGTATCTGTTATGACTCAGTTATTCATGGCAGAATTGACTTTGTGGTATACTTCCCATATACATATTTTTCATCTTGGGGCACTCATAAATATATCTCTTTGGAGCTGTTTATATCATCAAATCTTACAGAATTCATACTGTTCCTTCAGTAACCCTCTAACACACTTAGAGAGGATTTTAAGGATAACAGAAGATGATGCTCACACCTGATTATAAGGGTCTTATTGACATTTAAAGCTCTAATGTGATTAGCCATTATTAAAACATCTGTTTATCATTAGGCAGGATAAATGTGAATATAAAGTATGAGTAGAGGTTATAATTAGCAGTGCAGAAGTGCATGGTCATTTTCCTGAGCTGCATGGTCCTTGTTAGTACAGTTAGCTAGTACGCAGCTGTATGTATAATTGGGGGATAGATATTAAAATATATATAATAAAAGATATATTATATATTATATAATTATATGCTATATAAAATTAGAAATAATTATATATGCATATATATTTATATATGCGTTTTATATATGTATTTCTATATATATTAATGTATATAAATATAGCTGCATGTATATAGAACTTGGGTTACTTCAGGGGAATGTGACTTGTTCTAGGTTCGTTAAGTAAGCCTCTGTTCCTGTGCTCCCATGAAAATTGCCAGCTGCGGAGATTTGTGTTAACAGAGCAATTTCTAGCAGCAATAAATGGATCTTCATTTTGCTCAAGAGATACTAAATTACATTTGCCATTTACCCAAGTGCATGAAGAGACTTGAGTGAGAACATACCTAGCACGGGCCATGCAGCAGCAACTCTTTCTGGTCTTTGGGGATTGATATCAAGTGCAATGTAATGCTGTGTAAAGTGTCTGGGGATCAGAGGAGAATGAGTAAATGTTTGCTGCTTATCTGCCTCTGTGGTACCTGTGTGGACCTCAGAGACGGGTGGTATCTTTGCAGCTGTATCTGAACCCACTGTGTGAAGAAAAATCCACTGAACACCTTCATCATTCACTATGTACATGAGAAATAAGAGTTAGCTGATTGCCATCAGTTACTGATTTAAGGAGTAATGGCATATACTCTATAAATGCATCTCACGGTCCAAGGATGGGGACTTTGCCATTCAGAGGCTGGGCTCTTGAACACTGTGATGGACTCCAACAGAAGTTTGATCTCAGGTGCCAATCGAACACATCCATTAAGGACTAGCTGGCCAGGATTGAGACCGGGATGAAACCTTATATTTTTCAGAGCTATTTGTTTGTATAAGATGATGAATCTGTTAAAATACATTGGGAAGGAGCAGCAGAGAGAGGTGTTTCTAGAAAGGGTGCCCCTTCTTTTGAAATTGCAGGAGGCAATAGAAAAAAAAGGTGAATTTAACTACTTGCTGTCTTTTGAGCTTAGACAGCTAGTGGTGTCAGCTTAACAGTCATGCTTTTGTTACAAAGACTGTATGAAAGAAATACAGGTGAAAACTTCCATTTTACTTTAAAGGATGGCTGTACTTTGGAAGAAGCACTGTAGATTAATGAATAAGATGTGTTTATGGTACATGTTCATGATAGGGCACTGGGATGCTGTTGGGTATTTTAGTCCAAACCAAAAAAAAATTACAAACTCTTATTTCATTTATTGTTTTCATGTTCACCAAGTCTTTTTTGAAAATACTCAGTTACTGGTGGTTTTGCCAGTCATGACCAAGTGAGTTGCCTTTTTGCTTTGCATGATAATCATACGTTACATGGAGTACAAACCATCCTGAAATGGCCAGGCAGGCTAAATCCCCTACATTTTTTCCCCTCGATAGAAAGCACCTACTTTGCCAGATCATCGTTTTCTGCTCTCAGTGAATTTACTAGGATTTTACTGAGATTTTAGTGCCTTGATATCAACCCTTGTCATCATCAGACAATGCAGCAGGAGACCATCTTTTTCATTGAGTTCCCCCACACACCGTATTGAACAATATTAATTTCTTCCTCTAGGATAGGGGTCATCTAAAAATCAATTAAAAACCCTAATTTACAGAAGACAGTAAAAAAACCCAGGAAAATAGAGATCCTGTTCATATTCATTATCTCTTCCACTCTGAAGAGAGTGAAAGACTAATATTTTTTACAGAAATCTCTCATACTAAAGCTGTAGGTCATTCTTTCCTGTCAGTTTGATTATAAAACTAAAAGTGCTTCTCAGAAAGGAATTTCTGTCTTGAATATGAGAAGAGGCTTTAAAGGCTGTGGTGTATTCACTTCTGCAATGCGATTTGAGAAGAAAAATTTGAATTTGCACTTTGAAGGTTTTACATCCTGCAAATGCAGTTAGGGATAAAAACTCATTAACCAGGGTGTTTGTGAACTAAAGGATCAGCAAATAAAAGCAAAGTCAATTCTGGAATTTTCATTTATACTTGTAAATATTTTGCTGAAAATTTTTTGTTCATTTCTGTTTTCCTGTAATGAAAGGGTATATGGGGATGACATTTATTGCAATTACTCTCTGAAGAAACAAATTAATACAAGTGCAGAGGTCTTTAGAGTAGTTTTGTGTAATTAAACTGTTTCTCTAAGGAGAAACTCTATTATAAACTATATGTATGCAAGCATTTATTGTTAATGCAAATGTTTAAGCCACATCTGATATGAAAATCTGAACCATTTGGGGTTCTGCCTATCCAATTCACCTGATCCTGTTTTCTTTGAGCATCTGTGATTTACTCAATGGTAATCTGTTATGTTTGGATTTACAATGAGCCTTTGCTTCTGAAGTATATGGTGTAGTGTATGGTGCATAACACTGAAGTCTTAGGATTTATCAGAGACCTGAAAACTCAAGTTGGAAAAAATTTACTCAAGATGTCCAGAATTGGTACATGTTCAATCATTAGGATATAACAAGACTCGGTTCTGGAAAACCTCTCAAGGCCAAGGAGAGATTTCTCAGGTACTTTGGGAGTAGGATGAAACCTTAATGAGTTTTGCTGTCTCTGCAATACGATGATGTGCTAAAAATTTCTCCAGATCACTCGGTGTCATAGGCAATGATGTGTCCCAGGTTACGATGAACTGACCCCCTATTTCTTGCTTGCTTTCAGCCTGCATTGATTTCTTCTCATATCACAGTTGCTTTTAGGCAGTCTTTCCAAAAGCCCATGTGCTAGAGCTAAAATTTCAGATATTTTGGATCATTTCAGTGCATGCTTAATCCATTGTCCAGCTGATGAGTTTTATGTTACTGTTTTGAAGTCTGTACTCATTTTCATTCTTTCTCATGAATGAATTTGTTTTCCTCTGCAGTCACAACAGGTTTTTCAAATTTTGACATTTTGCTAATTGCATTTTCCCCTTGTCTTGTTTTTTCCAGCTCTCGTAAATGTGAAACTTTGGGCTATTGATCGGCAATGTTTTCAAACAATAATGATGAGGACAGGCCTCATCAAGCATACTGAGTATATGGAATTTTTAAAAAGGTATGACACTTGTTTACTTTATCAAAAAATACAATGAAACTGCCGTCCTCATCTTTTGACCTTTTTTTTGAGTGCAGTATTTGATTTGTTTCCTTCTCATCTATTTTTTTTAATTTGCTGTTTAATCATCTGTAAGCTGTATCCTCCAGCTGAAAGGCGGGCGAGCCCCAGGAGGAGCCTTGCCTGCAGTTTAGTTTCATTACTATTGGGAGCTATTCATTGGCAAAGAGTCTCACAGCAGAGGTGTAAGACAAAAAGCTTTAATATGAGTCATTCTAAGCGTACCTTGTTAAAGAAAATGCCAACTAAAAAAACCAAACGAAACAAAAACCAAAAAACAAACAGCCTCCTTAGGGAAAAATCTGGTTTATAAACTGTTGTAGAAAGAAGCAAGTCCACTCAAAGTGTGTGCTTGTGCTTCTAGAAGTAAAATGCAAGTTTCTAGAGAAGCAAAAACTTTAGGTTGCTGTAAAATATGGGTTAGGTGAGTGACCAGACAGACATAAAGCCAAATATTTCACTCCTTAAATTTGACTCAAACCTTTGTTTGGTTCATGCTGCCTTCTCAAATGTAAACAAATCCTCCTTACCAAAGTGATGTCTGATATCCTAGTAATTCAACTGTGCCGTAGAAGTGAGGAACAGGATATGTTTCATGTCAGCAAAATAATCCCAAATAGAAGCATAATGTCACCGAGTTCTGGAGACAAAGTCGCCCAGGTAGATGTGAATGCTGTAAGTATTCCCATCATTACTAAGACATTGCTATACCAGCCTTGTCCAAAGAGAGGCTTTGGGGGGAAATGCGCTGTTGTAAGATCTGGAAGATCTTACAGTTTGCAAACTAGTGACCTGAGTAGTGACACAACCCCCAAATAAGGATGTTTTGGATGAAAAATAAATCTCGCACATCCATAGCAAATGACAGGTGACAGGTGTCCCTAATGTGGGCATGCCAATTTTTACCTTGCTTTGTCACGTACTTGATTCACTTTTTTTTCTCACCTGCGTTTTTGTGTGTTTTCAAACATAACACTTCTAAAATTGGAAAAACAAGCACAGTACATTCACTTGGGCATTCAGTAACATAAACTCAAGGAGCAGCCTGTATTCGTTCAACTTTAAATTAGTTTTAATCCAGTTAGTATTGGAGAATAAAGCAACTTGGAAAAAAAAGTATTTATTATCTATAAATAGCTATTATTTAATATATGGTACAAAATATATGTAGAAAAAGTAATGTACAAAATATATATATACTAACTAAATCTCTGTGATGAAATTGTTGGGGAGTCACAAAATTGGACCGTCCCACAGGGTGACCACAGTCCTGTGATCTGCAGGCAAGGCTTTAGGGATGGGGCAGGGCAAGTGGAGCCAGGCAGGTGATCCTGTGGGACCAATATCCTGGCATGAGTGGGGCTGCACCACAACTCAGCCAGGACCAGGTGAACATTCCTCAAAGATCAGGCACCGTTAGCCGCTTAGATATGGGAGCAGAGACCTGCCCAACTCACCACACTGATTCTTGGCAGGGTTGACATCGCACCTCCTAACCTTTCCTTGTGGCCAGAAGCCTCACCTGTGATTATTTTCAGTCATGAATAAAAATAATTGTAATAAAATAATGAAACTGAAATAATTAGCCAGTGTCACCATTTAGAGCAGGGCGGTAATAAACTGAGTGGCAGAAGCTCTCTGTTAACCCCCGTCCTCCCACCAGAGGAAAGGAGGAAGAAGAAAACAGGACATCCAGGTAGCACAACTGCTGATGAGGACAAGGTGTTTCCCTGGAGAGGACCAGGAGCTCCATGGAGATGTTCTGCTCAGTGATGCCATGAAAGTGTAGTCATCAAAATCTAGCTTTTTCCAGGTGTCTCAGTTTATGGTTATTAACAAGAAAACTGAGGACAGAAAAGAAAACCTGTTGCCATACTGAAAGAGTTTAAAAAATCATAAATTCAAACATTGACAAGTGTTGGCCTTTCTTGTGTGCTGGTGAATGAAACCAAAAACTGAATGTCAGATCAGTTCTGGGGGTTAGTGCCTCTGGCTCCTTTTAAAGCAGAAACTATGCACACGTTAAGCTCTTAAGCTTTGAGCTTTAATAGAGGTTTTCTAGACAATTGTGAAGATTAATTTGGATGCAGTTTCCACAGAGCCTACCCAGCTTTGATTTTAAAGCAAATAGTGTGAGAAAGAAACTGAGAAGCGTTTTCTCACACTGTGTCTGAGGTTCTTGGACATTACAGTGTGTTGAGCCACGTACTAATGCTTGTTAGAAAGGCCTAAGGCAAGCAAATATTTTTTTGTTAAATTTTACAGTTTGAATTTAGGAAAAGATTGCTTCCTATGCAACAATTGTAGCATAGGGCAGTATTACGGGTTTATGTGGCAAGGTTTTGGTAGTGGGGGGGCTATAAGGGGTGGCTTCTGTGAGAAGCTGTGAGAAGCTTCCCCCATGTCTGATAAAGCCAGTGCCATCTAGCTCACAGATGGACCCACAGCTGGCCAAGTCCAGGCCAGCCAGTGACGGTGGTAGCACCTCTGTGATAACATATTTAAGAAGGGGGAAAAAAAAATGTGCTGAAAATGGCAGTCGAGAGAGAAGTAAGACGACGTGAGAGAAACAACTCTGCAGACACCAAGGTCAGTGAAGAAGGAGGGGGAGGAGGTCCTCAAGACACTGGAGCAGAGAGTCTTTACTTGCAGCTCGTGATGAAGACCATGGTGAGGCAAGATGTCCCCCCGCAGTCCATGGAGGTCCATGGCGGAGCAGATATCCACCTGTAGCCCGTGGAAGGGACCCCACACTGGAGCGGGTGAATGCCTGAAGGAGGCTGTGACCCTGTGGGGAGCTCCGCACTGGAGCAGGCTCCTGGCAGGACCTGTGGACCTGTGGAGAGAGGAGCCCATGCCAGAGCAGGTTTGCTGGCAGGACTTGTGACCCCGTGGGGGACCCACACTGGAGCAGCCTGTTCCTGAAGGATGGCACTCCGTGGAAGGGACCTACAGTGGGGCAGTTTGTGAAGAGCTGCACCAAATGGGAAGGACTCACGTTGTAGAAGTTTGTAAAGAACTGTCTCCCATGAGAGGGACCTCACGCTGGAGCAGGGGCAGAGTGTGATGAGTCCTCCCCTTGAGGAGGAAGGAGCGGCAGAGACGTGTGATGAACTGACCGTAAGCCCCATTCCCTGTCCCCCTGTGCCGCTTGGGGTGGGGAGGAGGGAGAGAAACAGGATTGAAGTTGAGCCTGGAAGAAGGGAAGGGTGGGGGGAAGGTGTTTTAAGATCTAGTTTTATTTTTCACTGTCCTACTCTGATTTGATTGGTGATGAATTAAACTTCCTTTTCTCCCCAAGTTCAATCTCTTTTGTCCATGACGGTAACTGGTGAGTGATCTCTCCCTGTCCTTATCTCGACCTACAAGCCTTTCATCATATTTCCTCTCCCCTGTCCAGTTGAGGAGAGGGAGTGCTAGAGCAGTCTTGGTGGGCACCTGGCATTTATCCAGGCCAAAGCAAAACAGGCAGATAGCTGTAGGATGGTCATTACAAAATGGTATCTACCCATCGTGCCTTCCAGTTGGCTCTGTGCATCAATAGCTATCTCAAGCTCAACTTAAATTCCATTTATTACATGAAATGCTCATTTTTAAGAGTGCTTTCCATCTATCTATTTTTAAGTAAAAAATAGGTTAACTCTTGGAAACAAGGAGTGTGTCAATAGTAGACCTTATTGTTTGTTCTTTTAATTTTCTTTCCTATATTAATAACTGAATAAAAATGTTCTTGTTACGTAATCATTTGGAATAGAAACAAAGGTTTAAATGGCACCTGTTCACAGAAAAGTTAGTGGGGTTGGACAGCATTATTTTCTGCTGACATTGCTCTAAAAAAGTTACCCTTTCTAATTTTTTCATTAGTCACAATAACATAGTGGTCAGTGTCTTCAATAACATTTTCACCTATGAACAAAATACAATAGAAATTAAGCTTTTGGAGGTGAAATAAGATTATTCATTTATTTTCATTTATCTTGCTGAAAATAAGTGCAGTCTGATTACCGGTATTACTGGAACTCATTGTAGTCGTTGTACGAAATATTACCCCACAACCAGTGTTGTGGCTTTGCCATGTTTTTCCACAGAAGGAAGATATTGATCAAACAGGTCAGCTGCTATTAGCTTCACCCTTTTGCATCCAGAGCAGGTATAGTCCAGCCCTTTCTTCTGAACGCCATTAAAAATACCATAAAAAGCACATTTCCTGGTCAAGAAATCCAGATTTACTTTGTGAATAGGTCCTGGGCCAGAATTCTGTCTCCTGGTTTGCTCCAAGGAGTAGTAATATATAGTTTTCATGGGCTTATAAAACTTGAGATAACTCTTCTGACATATAAATCAAACTCAATATACTGGAGTAAGGAGCAAGTGAACATCCTCTTTCTTACAGGATTTATGAGGAGCCAGGCTGTGTATCCCTTTCTGCTGCTTGTAAAGTCAACAGATGATCACTGAAGTGATCAAAAGATGGCCTGATTCCCTAGCAGCACCTGCTTCAAGTTGAGATGGAAAATCCAGACTATTTTTTGATCCCTGTTTATATTCTGAATGACAAATTGTAGTGATGATTGCCTTTGAAACACAAATTTTTGGTAGCGTATTATGTGGCTAAATCACTGCTAGATCAAGCTAGTTCGTAGTGCAGCTAACAGTAAAAAGTTAAAATATAGTATTGTGCTGCAGATTTAGTAACTCTTTATGGTACAGGTTCTTTTGCTGGGCATTGCTTTAGTTTTTACCCAACTAAGTGCTTTCTGTATATCATTGAATATATTTGCCCCTATACAAGCAAGAAAGAGCATCATTCTGCAATGGAGGTTACAGCTATGCTAAAATCAATTGTACATCTCACTGCAGTGTTCATTGTTACAACATTAGAATGATTTTCTGCTCGAGCCTGTACTAAAAATAGTTCCATGTAAGCAAGATCAGAATAT